CTACTGCTACTGCTGCCGCTACTACTTTAATCTTCTGGAACCCAGGGTCTGCAGTTGTGGAGAAGGATGTCGTTTCTGCTACAACACAAATTAATGGAGGCTTTCCGGTTGGAGAGGCAGATTTAAGCCGTCAGCTGGGGCAGGATTTGTGTCGGGCTTTCTGGTAAGCCCCAAACTGAATTAAACCCTAGGAGCGATAGAGAAATAAATCCGAGCTGATTCTTTGCCTAGTCAAGTTGCCTACTTGCACCCAGGCTGGCCCCAACCCCAAACATTCCGGAATCGGAGAATCGTGCTGGCACACAATGATTCTTCATTCGGCCTGCCCTGTGTACTATCTCCTGGTAATAAATTATAAACTAAACAAGGTACATTATCTCCAACGACATAGCACAGGAATCGGAGGCTCGAGGTCCTGTTGCCACCTAATGACCTACTTCCTTACGCAGCACAAACCCTAAACCCTAAACCNNAAACCCTAAACCCAAACCCTAAATTAACCTTAAACGAATGCCCGAGGACTCTGGCTCACTTGGCGACTGGACTTGCTTGGCTGCTGCCGAAAGCAAAAGGGGGCCAAACCCTGGGCCTACTGTTCTCATAAAATCTCAGTAATCTAGCACGAGTTCAAGTAGGACATTGGGGTTGGACTTAGAGGCTAAATGATAAAGGTTTAGGGGCCTAGGGTTAGGGACGCTTAGGGTTTTCGTCGCTGGTCTGGATATAGCAAGCCCGAAACCCGAGAAAACCCGCAATACTTAGTGAGGTTCTGCGAGTTGAAGACGAACACTAGGGTTGGTTAGGATTTAAGCTTGGTGCCTAGGGGTTCAGGGGTCAAGGGTTAGGGTCGCTTAGGGTTTTGGTTGTTGGTGTGAATCGCAAACCCGCCCGAGTGACCCCAGAACAATCCTAGTGGATGCCAACTTCTCCCGATAAGAACAATACGACCTGTAGTGCTGAGGCTCGGTAGGATGAAGCAAATCTCGAAGCAGCTTGAAGACACCGAAGGGCCTGTGCCAGGGTCTCTGCTCTTCACACACAGAAGTTATGCTAAGTGATGTTTTTCTCTTTCGGTTCGTCCAAAACCAATACAAAACCATGCCCGTGAGAACAGCGTGAAAACAGCGTGAAACCAGCGTGAAAAGCACCCAGATCCCCGTGAAAACCACCCAGATCCCTGTGAAAACTCGGTATCCCAAAAACACGTTCGGGAGCGACTCGAAATCAATGTGTCCGCAAGAGCATTCGCTGGCTGCTGAAGGGTTCCATCTGTGATCCGGCCTATGTATTGCATGTGCTTGTTGTAGCCACTTTTCGGCTTTTGTGTTGAGGTCCTGGTTTTGTGGGGTCGGTTGCTGCTTCCTAGAATGGTGACAGTGGAAGATGTGCTTGCTAGAGCCCGGGCCAGGGCAGGCCGGGCCCCGAGTGCTCCCGCTACACCGGCTTCGAAGCCGAGCATCTTGAAATCCCCATCCACACGGTCCTGGCCTAGAGCTTGGTTCGTATTTCGGTGTAGTCGTGATGATTGCCCGCAACAAATTGTTCTCTTGATTTTGGTTCATCAGGTCCTATGACAGCAAGACCGAGGATGCCCAAAACCCGTGGCCGAAGCTCGATGATTCCACAGAAAAGACGAACAAGCTCGATGATACAACAGGAAAGACGAACTTCCAGAAAGCCAAAGCCAAGCCCCTCCGAGCCGACACCCAAGAGACCGTGGTGGTGGAGACACCTCCACACCGGGTCCGATCAAAGTCGGTTGATGACGGCCACTCCGACCCCAAATCGAAGTGCCCAAAGAGGTCTCTCAGTTCTGAGCTGAAGGATGCTGCCACCCCTCCAAAGAAACTTATCAATTTGGGCCCATCCAATCCAGCCCCCAAGAGGAAGAACAAAACGCCAGAAGATAAGAAGAAGGAGAAAGAGGAAGCCCAGCTTGCAGCTTACGAAATGAAGGATCATGCCACGGCAAGAAGCTCTAGCGAACCGATGCCTCGAAGTTCTAAACTTGCCAAGAAAGGAAACCCCAAAGCAAAGGCGAGCCCAGTTGCCAACAAGCCCAGTTCCCCTGCAACCGCAAAGACCGAGGACCCCGCCGAGAAGCCCACGAAAACCCCGAAATCCACGCCGCCAGCAGCCACGACCAAGGAAAGCCCGGTCAATAAGAAGGCCAGAACCACGAGCCCCGACAAGAATCAGAAGAAGACCCGTGGCAGGAGCCCGCCTAGCGACAGCCACGAAAAGAGCCCCAAGAAGGCCCGTGCCGCACACAGCCCCAAGAAGCCCAGCGCAAGCAGCCCCAAAAAAGGCCCCAAGAAGGCCCCCGAAGGTGCCGACAACAGCTCCGAGAAGTCCCGTGCAGAGACCCCCAAGACGAGTGGAGAGAACGCTGACAGCAAGAAGTCCGAGAAGGATCCCACTGCAGTTGAGAAGAAGAGGCAGGCACACAAGCTTTACATGAGATTCTGGCGATCGGTCAATGAATGCCTTGGGCTCGGATCTGACAATCAAGTCAAACCTTTCTTCTTTTCCCGTATGATGTAAAGTATCAGGTCGGGAGACTCCTGGGGAGATCAAGCCAGGTTCAAGTATTGCCTGGGCCTGAAGTGCATATCATGTTCGGTTTCAACATCTAGTGGTAAAATTGTTTTCTGAGGCAAGACGAAAATGACAACCCTCTACGAGGATTTCACACAGTGTCAGGGAAAGTGGCAGAACTCGTATATCATGAAGACGATCAGACAGAAGCACAAGAATGGAAAGCGAGCCGCCAGACGCTGGCTCACCAAAGCCCAGCTAAAGGCCCACTTCAATGATGATAGTGTGGTAGACGCCATCATAATCAGGAAGGAGACGGACAAAGAAATTTCAGAGAAAGAGATCCGGGACCACCCCGATCTCCCAGGCAGGGCTGTTTTCAATAGTTTTCAATCTTCGTCCCGTCTGTGTATGAATGATGTCCTGGAGGCCTCAAGCAATACCTTGTTTTGGTCGAAGACGAGGAGGTGGACGAAAGCACTGACGAAATCGAAGAGCTTTTCTGCATGCATCAAAAGCACGGCAGCGATTCCAGCTCGGATGGCTCGCAGGAGATTGTTTTGTGAACTTGTCCGTTCATACATTCAACTTCACAAAGATGCATTACCTCATGGCTTATATCTTGTAGTTGTTGTTGTTGCAGGATGGCAGCAATGATGATTCCAGCAGCAGTGCTTCTGCAAAGAAAAAGAAGGACAAGAAGCAAAAGAAGGACAAGAAAAGCAAGAAAGACAAAAGCAAGACGCCTAAGAAGAAGGGCAAGGGCAAGCCGAGGAAGGGGAAGCACCCCAAACTCAACAGAACGGAGACACAGGAGGACTTGGACAAGGAGCAAAGCCGCAAGGTTGAGCAGGAGGGAAAGAAGGCGGGGTTCACGCACAACGAACTAAGTCCCAAGCCATAAACCCTAATCTGTTTTGCAGGTCATCAACATCCTGAACCGCAAGATCAAAGAAGCAACCGCAAAGATCGAGTCCCCGGAAGTCAGCTCATTGTCCGGGCCCCAAAACCAATGCAATTCATCTAACATTAACTCATTAATTGAAAGCCCCTTTCCCAGGACCGAGCTTGTCCGGGATGCCTTGAAGAAGGACCTCCAGGCTGTCGTGAAGAGGCTGACCTCAGCCCGTACCCAGTTGCAGTCTGCTTTGGACTCGGTTCAGGACACTTCTGGCCTAAACCCTTTTTGCCCTAAACCCTAAACATACCAGTGATTGCTGGGTCTTCGATCTGCTACGCACTCTCCAGGACGACCGGATCTCCCAGAAGACGACGGCTGCCAAGGAGATTTTGGACCAAGCCGAGGGATCTCTTACAGTTGGGGTCAAGAAGAAGACTGAGAAGAAGGGTGGAGACTAGATCCTAAGAGGAGCATCGATGCATGGTCCCGAAACTAACCTATCTTAGATCGTATCCGGGTTACACGTAGCATACACCTACTTTGTTTTGAGGGCGAGGGGCCTTTAGATGCACTCTTAGGGGTGGGGGTCTGCTGGAGCGAACCGCCCCTCGGACAGTCTGTCAGAGCTGCAACCAGTTATCCTGCCAAGTAGCATCGTGCGAGCCGGGGGTTTCGTGCAATCGTGCGACATGAGTTGGTGGGCTGCGACCGGTGACAAACAAATGCAAAGCTTCAGTGAGTGTGCAATCTACGCTGTGATGAGCTTCCAATCTATCTTACTTTATCATCAAAACTCATCGAACTCCGCTTCGCAGGTGCTGCTGACCGGGATGGCGAGTACTCCGAGGTGGTTGCTGATATGATTGACAACATCGCTTCAGCTGTGGCTTGGCTCAATATCCGTAACTGCACGAAAACGAGGCCCACGCAGATAAAGTCTCATCTTTGCATCGGAGGATACCTCGATTGGCAAGGAAATGAGAACGGCTAAATCGTCGGTGACAGCAGCTCGCCAGTGACTAGTCGGCTTCGTTTCTAGCACCAACCTCTACAAGTTTTATGTTGCATTGGGCGGTTCTTTGAGGATGCTCGTGGTCAGCTTCCAGCTCCGCTGCTCAAGTTGGGCTCGTTCAGCGGCGGCAACAATGCACGAGACTTTCAAAGGTCTATGAAGCTGCCAGTGGTGGGCCTAGGGATGATTTGGGGTTAGCTTTGGTTCATAGGCTACTGAAGTTATTGAGCTGGGGGCAACACACTAGTGCGACCCTGACAGGAGCCGGTGATGGTAACAACTTCGGTAAAGGCCAAGCAGGATTCTAGCGAAGTTGTTGAGGTGAAAATTCCGGTGCTATTACCGCATCGAATCCTGCTTTATTTGTTCAGTGTGCTGGGGGTATTCATCCGGCCGGAGGACATCCAGCAGTACTGGCAGCACTGCCAGGAGTTTTGCATATGGGCCCTAAACAAGGACTTTGATGGCAATCACGTGCCCGTGACCATCTACGGCGACACGGCTCGGTATGGGCAGGGGTATGATCAGGCTAAGGTTACAGGATGCTTTATGAGCTTACCGCTGTGGCGACCCAAGTCAACAAGAATGTCGCAGTGGCTTCTGTTCAGTGTGAATGCGGATATATCTCTGGGGCCAGAAACCCTGAACCCTTTATATCTGGCCATTGTCGAATCATTCAACGAAGCCTTTCACGGCCGAAGCCTCGAAGGACCCCTGCTACCACACAAATTTGCAATCACCGAATTTAAAGGGGACTGGGAGTACCACTTTCAGACCTGGGGGCTTAGACGATGGTGGAAAACTCGATATGTATGTTGGCGATGTCATGCTGAGAACCACGCCAATGCCACGCACAGCTGCTTCGACTTCGGTGATAATCCAACTTGGCAGGGGGCAACTGTTTCCCATGCTTCGTTTGTGGCCAACATGGTACGGCGACAAAACCTTTGAATCCCTGCAGCAACCGGCACCCTGTTTAGATTGCTCGGATGCTATTTTATGATCGCTCAGACGTCATAACACAGCTCCATGCACTAAGGTCCGTTTTTGGGGCTGCATGGTTTTCATGCTGCAATGATTTGCCACTGCAGCTTGCACAACATGAACCTGGGCATCGCTCAGGATGCTAATGGGTCTACGCTGAGCCCTGCCCGTGCATACGGTTTGTCGCATAAGGGATCGTGTCATTTATGGGTGTCCCAATCATAGTTCTGATTGATTAAGGATGTTCTTGGTCGAGAATGGATATTTCGGCTGCACCGAGACCATAAGTTTCGAGAAACTGCTCGTCATTGCCTTTCGCGATTTCAAAGCATTCCAATGCCACTCTGGTCAGAAGTGCTCACAAACCAAGTTTGTGCCGAGGTTCGTTTTGTGGCGAATTCAGCAGATATGTTGTCGTTCACTTTGTTCGGGCATGCTACCTGGTTCCCTTTCAAATTAGCAAAGGTTTGGAAGCCTGAAACCCATGGGGCTCACATGGGCCACAAAGGGCACAACGGCAAGATCATCGCATATTGGCTGGGGGACTGTATGCAAAAGGCTGTGGAACGATCTATGGCACCCGGTCGCGAAGTTTGCAAATGGCTACATGAAACAAATAACTGGCCAAACGATGAGCGACTGGAGCTCATTGCAGCGACGATGATGCTTTCTTTAATTTATGCGAGTTGCTCCTACCCGTCTTAACAACCCGATTCCAAAGCCCTGAATATCCCTGAACCCTGCATTGCCCGAGGCAAACACTATGTGCATGGTTTCGGGAGGTCGAGAAGCACGGTCGGTACCTGCAGCTCGTTTCGGTACTTCTCCTGCACAAGCCTGCTATCTTAGATGGCTGATCATACATAACTCAGGACTGCCGAAGCAGCCGATGCAATATATGGGCATGGCATGAAGTACCTCCGCTATCACCTCATTCTGTGCAAAATTTCCATGAGGCCCTCGGGTTAAAGTGAGAAGAGCTTGTTTAAACCTAGGCTTTTGCTGTTGCCAATGCAGGATGAACAAGCTGCATTGGCACATCCGGCCAAAGATGCATGCTGCCAGTCCGCAAGATGATGAGATCTGCAATTTCTTGTTTGTGTGTCTAAGACCTAAGGCTTTCCATCATCAGATGAAAGATGCTCAGGCACAGCGACTTTCGGATGCATCCTGAGCATTTCGTGAATCAGAGCATCACCGGCAATCTGAAATTAAGGACTGAACCCGAGACACCACCACACGTTTCGCGAAGAAGATGCAATGCGATGGCTCAAAGGTGTCTCGGCTCGTGATTCGGAATCGAATTCCTTCTGCAGATTCAACTTTATCTTTTGGCCCAGGAGTCGCTCAACGATGTGACAAGAAAGATCTAGAGCGGTCGATAGCGAAGTACAGCAGGTATCGTCTCTTATCGATGCACCGACGAATGTTTCACTTGAACAGAGCTGCTAGACTGCGAAACCGCTGAAAAATGGGCGGGGGCACTCCTCGATGGCGGCCACCAGGCAGCGGTTGCTCTGCTGCTGCAGCTTTGTCATGTTATCCCCGAACTTGCCAACCCAAAGCCCCATTAACACAACCCAGGCAAGTAGAACAAGTAGTTTCAGTAAAGATCGTTGTTTAAGCCAACGCACCCAGTTCCTACGTGGTTTGGACCTGTAGGGTATACCTTCGGCTGACATTTCGCGAGACCCGCATTCCCTCGGCGAGCTTGGCTTCAACCCCTGGCTACTTCACTGTGTTTGCAAAGTTCAGACGATGTGAAGGGTTACGTTTTGAATCTTTCTCGCACTTCCGAAGCCAGCCCGGTATCTTCCAGAATAAGAGAAGCAGATTGGCTACTGAAGGGACTGCTGCTCACATTGAAAAGCCTCCTAAACACCTAAACCTAAACCTTTCAACCCTAAACCCCCCAAAACCCCTAAACCCCTAAACCCTGAACCGTGAGCCAGCAACACACCAAGGATGAGATCTACGACCTCACCGAAGAGAGTCCTGACCTTGGCCCATTGTGTCGCCGCACGCTGTAGATTATTCGATAAAGCCTTTGGAACATTCGATATTATCCCTTATTGAACCGAAGAGGATCATATTTATGAATATTTGTCCAAAGCCTTAAAGGGTCGACCTAGATTATGTCATCGGCAATCGCTTAGTTGGCTGCGGCGGTGTCCTTGGTCAGGGTTTTCGGTCGGCGGAGTTTCTAGGATGCTCTTTATTTTCAGAATCTCTTTTAATAGGTAGTCGCTCAGGAGTCGTTGTAGCCCATCGCCACCCCGTTCTGCTGACGGACAAGTAGCGTAGCTCTTGGTCAGATTGTAGCAAGAAGAAACCTGGTGCGAATTTCCTGTACTCACGAGCACATTTGTTGAGCAGCCATGCATTTGTTGAAGGAACTCACTACTAAAAAACTACTACTACTACTACTACTACTACTACTGCTACTGCTACTACTACTACTACTACTACTACTACTACTGCTTCTTCCAGGAACCTTGTTCCAATCCCTATCGACTCCAAGACGCCCTAAGCGCCTGGATCCTAAACAGTTACAGAATTGGCAGTCCCTGGATAGCCCAACATCCAGTGTAATAAAACAAGACAGACCACAGCCAATATGCGTGCAATGGCACTTTTCCTGTTCTGTGAAGCCCAACCCCAGCTCCGCAGACCCACCCGACGGATCTTATGGTAGCAATTGGTTATGTCGTTGCGTAGCTGTGTCCTAAACCCTAATCTCTATACTACAAACCTAAACCCTAAACACTAAACTAGAAACCTAAACCCTGAACCCTAAACCCTAAACCCTAAACTACAAACCTAAACCCTGATTCCTAAACCCTATACACCCGAAGCGCATTTAGGTCTTGGCACCCTGCGAGCCCTAAACCCCAAACCCTAAACCAACTAAGGCACGGCATACGTCGAGTCGGCGCAGCAGCACCTGGAGAGGGCCGGAGACCCTGAGACCTAACCTTTAACTCTCATGATCTACGGTTTAGTGTGGGGGGTTTAGGGTTCAGGGGTTTAGGGTTTAGGATTTAGGGTTTAGGGTTTAGGGATGGAGGTCACGAAGTACCCAGGGGCTCCAAAGTAGTTCCTTTTTAGGTCTGTTATGGTTTTTGGGGGAGGAATTATAGTATACTATCCAAAAGGGAACCACGTAGGAGCCCTTGGGTATCTACAGTTTAGCAGCCATTACCCAGTAATTAGTAGATAGAATCCAGAAACCTGTAGGTAATTAGAGTTCCAGGAAGACCTTGAAGCTATGAAGACTCTCATAAGACCACCTTCTCCCTGGGGGAGTGGGGTTTAGGGATCAGGGTTTAGGGATTAGGGGTGAGGGGTCGTATAGGATTTAGGATGGGCCTTGGATCTAAGACTGTCGGGTCTATGCATAAGAACTGATGATCTCGGTCGGCCAACTGAGCCTTGATACCTAGTAGTAGGGTAGGTAACCTTTAACCTTTTTGGGGTAGTACAATCCCTATATAACCCCTATATAACCCCAAAGGTTAACCTTTAGTTCCCCATGATACCCGGCAAGTAAGGATAGTGGTCTTCAAAGCCAAGACCTGGCGATCCAGAAGCCCTGCTGCTGTAGGGGCTCTACACTGCAATCCAGGGCTTGGGGTTTTGGGGACTATAGGGGCTCTGCGCTCGCCACCTACTGTTTTTGTCGGGTTTTGTGGGTTACCGAAAGATCCGAAACGGACACACTGACCACGATCAGTTGTGTTGAGTGGCGGTCCTCTTCGGGGGTCCTTCTTCCTGTAAGCAAAGCTCAGTCTTGACGAAGGATACCTGAAGTTCTGCGTGGCTCCAAATCGCGGCAGGCTTGATCTGGACTGTGTCTCCATGATCTTCTGCCGAATGCGTTTGTTTCCTGTCACTGGGGACAGACAGAGATGTATATGCCCAAGATCCGACAGATGCCTCTACGAAAGGAGGGCGCGGCTTCCTTGTTTGCAAGTTTGGAGAGGCCCGGTACACCGCTTCACGGGGCTCAGTGGCCGGACGATGCCATATCTCTGAAGTCCTGCAGCCGCTGATATGGCATGCCTTCGTTCCCTCACCCTGGCCGACGCTCCCTCGGCCTCCCTCCCATGGAACTCATGCCAAGGATGCCTCAAAGGCTGCGGCTAGGCTACATATGCCTCTCATGACTAACTAATGTTGACCTTGGCCTTTAAGGGGTTCATATTATTCTTGGTATAGATTTAATTCTGTACATGGGGCCTCTGGGTTAAAGTTAAAACTTCCTGAAAACTGTAGTCGTGCTTCTTAAGAAGGAATTCTTCGCAATTAAGGGATGCTACTTCGGGCTTGGCGCCGTCCGAACAGCACCCGGCTGTTAGGGACCTGGGTTTAGGATTGTCGCAACTGCAGCATAGCATCTGGTGGAGTAATATTCAAGGGCCGGGATGATTTGACATAGTATACTCGTAAAGTCCGTACATAGCTATAGGATAATACACCCCCTCCAGTCGAAGTATTGAGCCCCCTGAATGTTTTGGACCTGTAACATAGGGGCTTAAATTATAGTGTTTTGAGGGGTCCTTGTTATGATTTAAGTATAATGAGTCCCAAAGCCCTATTCTAATTATTAAGGCCCCTAGATTGGGTCTCCTAGAGGGCACGCCGCGGCGAGGGCCTGAGCATTGAACTTGCTTGGATGAAAAGCTCGTGGCTTGGATGCATGCGGAGGTGGTCAGATAGCTTAACATAGGGTATAGGGTATACTATAAATACAATAAGGAACCCCCAAGATAGTATAGGTAATTATTAAGGCCCCTGCATCCATCAGTTTCTGTTTCTGCTCGTTCACCACACTCCGAACCCCAGTCTTCACCCGAAACGCTAGACCCTGTGCTAGGTGGGACCCTTCCCCCTCATGTCCCAAATCCTAAACCCTAAACCCTAAATCCGGACCCATGGTTGCCCAGGCCATCCAGAACAGCAACTCCTATCGTTTCTATGTCGTCTGCTGGTTTATCGGGCCCGCTGCTCAGTGGCTCAGAGAGATCAGGTGGCCTGAACCCCCCGGCCCCACAGCCTGATCCAAAGTACCCAATAACTCCAGGTACTGAGGTCAAGGATGGCAATTTTGGCTGTCAAAGCCTCATCTAAGTCATGTTCAGAAGGGTTTGCAGGGGTACAGTATAATGTAGTCTTGCAAACACCTAGTGTCTTTGTAAGGTCTCAACACAAGCCCCGCTATGTCATTTCATTACTACCCTGCAACCAATCAGATCATGATTGTTACTGACAGTTCAACAATATTTTCCTTAGGGCTCCTTCATGGAGTTATTCTAACTCTAAACACTCGTAGCAAACACTCGTCACGAAGTGTTATGGCCTCTGTATTGGTTGCGGTTTGTTTGGGTTTGAGGTCCGCGCTGTTTCTCCTGGTCATCGACTACATCGATGCTCGCTGGTCCCCGATCTGAGCAGGCATCCAGGACTTGTTGCTTTTGTTTTTCGAAAAGGTAGGTTTACCTCGTAATAAGGGTTCCGTATGAGAAGCATCCTACTATGTCTTGGTTCTATGTTGGAGTCCCTGTTTCCTTAGAGTCCATGTTTTGGGCCCCTAAACCCTAAACCCTAAACCCTAAACCCTAAACCCTAAACTGTTTCCTTAGAGTCCATGTTTTGGGGGTTGGGAAACCTCGCGGGGACCCAAGCCCCAAGACCTAGCGCAGAAAGGCCCAACCCACAGACCCATATCCCCCACACCGCGGGATCTTTTAGGGTTTAGGGTTTAGGGTTTAGGGTTTAGGGTTTAGGGTTTAGGGTTTGGATTTTAGGGAAACGTGGGTTCGGCAGGGTCACGCCTTCAATTTGGAGCTGGAAGTATATTGCCCAGGCCTTACACCTTGCAGTCCAGATGGCCCAAGACCTCATGCAAACCCAAACCGAGCCCCGCAAGTGTGTGGGTTTAGCACTGCAGGGATTAATCACTTCTGTACCATTCGAATGTTTTCACAGGTCGTGCGCATAAGGAGAAGTCATGGCGATCCAAACAGAGACCCTGGCATGTAGAGATGTACGACATATATGCGGCGGGGTGAAAGGAGCAGCAACCCAACTCGAGTCTCTTCCAGATTCGGGTCCTCTTTGGGGATCTTTAGCTGTCTTTCTTGTCGTAAACTGCAGTTGAAGTATGCCGTATGGGTCGTATTCCACATCCCCAATCATCATTATTACCCAGGGGCTCCAATGTAGTTCCATTTTGGGTCGGTTATGGTTTTTTGGTAAGGAATTATAATGTACTATCCAAAAAGGAACTACATAGGAGCCCTTGGGTATGCAGGACCCAGGATGAGCCACCAAACACAGTCCTTGCAGAAGATTCTCTTTCGTCTAAAGCCCGTTTCTCACCCTTTCTTGCGTTTTCTTGAGCAAATCTCCTGAAAGTTATCTTAAACCCTAAACTCCCAAACCCTCGACCCTAAACCCGGAAAATGT